TTCCATGGCCGTATTTCTATCTCCATGCTGCACAATGTGTAAGACAAAGAGAGCCGATTGTGCGACAAGGACAACAAGAGAGTTGGTGGCGCCATCCGTGGCAAAACGCTGAAACTAGTCGCCGCGTACTAGTGGCGCCGCCCGTGGCATAATACTGAACCTGGTAGCGGATGGCGCCACAAGTACACGGTGAATAGTTGCAGCGTTCTGCCATAGATGGCACAATCAATACACGTCGTGTAGGTAAAGTTCTTCCACGCATGGCACCTCAAGTTCTCGACGAGAAGTTTCAGCGTTCTGCCACTGATGGCACCACTAGCTTTCGACGAGTAGTTTCAGCGTTTTTCCACTCATGGCACCATAAAATATTGCACCTGAAGCTGTAATAATTAATTAGTTATTACAGATCTCCTGAGACATTCTTTTCTTTTTTATTTAAATATTCGTGCAGCGCCATTCCGTCTAGCGGCTAAACGTTGAAACTCGTAGGTAAACTACTTCGAGTAGACTACTACGGAATAGATAATTAATTTCTATACCTTCGAGGCATAATTTATACATTTTTAGTATTGAGGAATCTAGACGGAAGTCTCAGCTACATTTTGAGTACATTTTCGTATATATTTGATTCTAAATTAGTTAGTTATTAACGATCTTCCATGGGGGTGTTTCTCTGTGCAGTCAACAATATATAAGACAAGGACAGCTAACTGTGCGACAAGGATAGCGATAGCACACTGTGGCGCCATCCGTGGCAAAACGCTCAAACTACTAGCCGAGACTGGTAGCGCCATTCACGGCAAAACGCTGAAACCGTTAGCCAAATGTTTGGCTACCAGTTTCAGCATTTCATCACGGGCGGCGCCACTAGTACACGCCGAGTAGTTACAGCGTTCTGCCACGGATGGCGCCACAAGTACACGGCGAATAGTTTCAACGCTTCGCCACGGATGGCGCCACAAGTACACGGCGAGTAGTTTCAGCGTTTTGCCACGGATGGCGCCACAAGTACACAGTGAATAGTTGCAGTGTGCTGCCATAGATGGCACCACCAATACACGTCGAGTAGGTAGCGTTCTCCATGCATGTCACCACAAGTTCTCGGCAAGAAGTTTCAGCGTTCTGCCACGGATGGCACCACTAGTGTATGGTTCGTCGACGAATGAATCGTGCCGCACTTTACCATGATTTCACCAACTATTCAATCAATGTACAGGAGATAGCATCCCCCAGTTACCCGAGTCGCTGATTTATTCAATGTATCGAGTATTATTGCGTTAGCTTCACTTGTTAGTTAAGTCGTCGTTGTAAGAAAGGGAGCTATAACGAATACCGATTTCGTTCTGACTCCTATTCATTATTATAAAATGATTGTAAAATAGAATAAGAACTGTAATGTTTGAAAATAAAAGTACTATAAAACTCAATCCAAACGTCTTTTCATTTCATGTAGTTTTATTTTGTTCCTCACCGCCTGGCTCATCCTTCTTCATTTGTCCACCGTTTCCCCTGTTCTTTCACACAATCACGTCCCCTTCTTCTCTCACCTTTCTCCCACACTCTCTTTCTTTTCTCTATCTAGTTTCACCATCTATTTCTTTCCTGTACCATGCTCATTTACTATATTCTTAATCTTTTCTCAAATTCCTTCTTCCATTCCTTTCTCCTCCCTGTACCACTGTGACATGTGTTCTCACGTTTGTGTTTTTTCTCCGCCACATCAGCATCCGCTTTCTTCCCCGTCCTCCCTATACCTTGCAGTTTCTCTTCATCTCGCTTCTTCCTCATCCCTTTTCAAATATACTGAACCCTTCCTACTCTTACCTCTCTGTACCAATTGTATTCTATAGTTTTCCCCTCTTTTCATTCCTCTTTCATTCCTCCAACTTTCTTCTACTCTACCTCTCTTTCTCGCTCCCTCTCACACTTTCTCTCTCTCTCTCTCTCTCTCTCTCTCTCTCTCTTTCTCTCTCACTATCTCTCCCTCTTGCACTCTCTCACTATCTCTCTCACACTTCCTCTCACTCACTCTCACTATCTCTCTCTCTCTCTTGCACTCTCTCATTATCTCTCTCACACTTTCTCTCTCTCTCTCTCTCTCTCTCTCTCACTATCTCTCACTCTTGCACTCTCTCACTATCTCTCTCACACTTCCTCTCACTCTGTCTCAATATCTCTCCCTCTCTCTCTCTCTTCCATCCCGCCCTTTAAAATAGCTCCATCGTTCGCGTACTCCTTCCTCTGCCTCTCTCATTTTGATAGCATCAATTACCTTTCTATTGTCTTAAACTACTTGCTAATTGTATCAGGAGTACATACGAGAGGTATTCTCGAAATTCTTTGTCTGGCTTGTGATTGACTTGTATTACTGAAATTTCGAGTATCAGGGGTACATAATCTCGAGGAGGTATCCTGAAATTCATTGTCTGGCTTGTTATTGACTTGTACCACTAAAATTGGGAAAAATTTTCGAGTTTTCGAAATTTTTGTCTGGCCTGTTATTGACTTGCACTACTGAAATCTCGAAAATTTTTCAAAAAAAGTAGTACAAGTAGTACTTGCGAGAAAAATTTGGGAAATTTTCGGGAAAATTTTGAAAATTGTATCAGGAGAATATGATATGCGAGGAGGTATACTTTTCGAACTTCTGACATGACGTTGACTCGTACTACTTTTACCGAAAATTTTCGGAATAATTTCGGATTTTGTATCAGGAGCACATGATGTGCGAGGAGGTATTCTTTCGAATGCCTGGCCTGACGTTTACTTGTACTACTTTTTCCGAAAATTTTTCGAAAAATTTCAAATTTTCGAGATTTCAGTCGTACAAGTCAATAACAAGCCAGACAATGAATTTCAGAATACCTCCTCGAGAAATTGTGCCATTCGAGATACAGACCTCTTCGCCTCCTGATACAATTTCCAAGTAGTTTAAATCAATGGGAAGCTATCAAAATGCGAAAGGGAGAGAAAGAAGTACATGAGAAGGAGTAGTTCCAGGGAAGTTAGATAAAGAAAAGGATGGAATTAGGTGGTGAAGGCGAGAGAAGAGGAAGTGATTGATTGTGGAAGAACGAAATTGATTGTGAACGAAATGAAGAGCAAATGATGTAGGATGAATAAAAAGGAGTAGATAGACGAGAATAGGAGGGAGAAGTAAGATAGTGTGGGAGAAAACACGAAAGTGAGCACAATGAGAGCAAGAAGTGAAGTATTATGGGGGTGCGAAAGGAAAGAGGCGGAAAGGAGATATAGTAAAGAATGCGAAGAGAGGGAAGAGAGAAAGACAGAAAGGGTGGGAGAGAGAGAGAAAGAGAGAATGGCTGAGAGAGAGAAAGGGTGAGAGGGGAGAGAGGAAGAGAGAAAGAAATATAGAGAGAGAGGAAGGTAAAAAAACAGGTGAGAGAGAGAAAGGGTAGAGAGAGAAAGAGGGAAAGGCTGAGAGAGAGAGAGAGAGAGAAAGGAAGAAAGGTAGACAGAGAAAGAGAGGTATGCGGTAAATATGTTCTTTATTATTTAAGATTTCCAGGTTTTCCAAGCACTATTTTATGCAGGAATTAACTGAAGTAACGCCGCAATTACTTACTAACGAAAGAAAGCAACAATATTATGACCTAGTGTACCTAGTTATGCGATACAAAATTACTTATCGACTCAGGGTGCGCGACGCAAAGTTACTTATCGACTCACGGTGCGCGATACAAAGTAACCTATCGACTTACGGTGCGCGACGCAACGTTACTTATCGACTCACAGTGTGAAATGGAAAGTTATTTACGACTCAGAGTACACAGAATCCTACATATATAACACGCCGAGGACTTGTAGCGCCATCCGTGGCATCACGCTGAAACTACTCGCCGAGAACTTGTGGTGACAGCGTGGAAGAACGCTACCTACTCGACGTGTATTGGTGGTGCCATATATGGCAGAACGCTGCAACTATCTATCGTGTACTTGTGGCGCCAACCGTGGCAGAACGCTGAAACTACTCGCCGTGTACTTGTGGCGCCATCCGTGACAGAATGCAGAAACTGGTAGCCAAACATTCGGCTAACAGTTTCAGCGATTTGCCGTGAATGGCGCCACCAGTCTCGGCGAATAGTTTCAGCGTTCTGCCACGGATGGCGCCACAGTATACTATCGCTATCCTTGTCGCACAGTGAGCTGTCCTTGTCTTACACATTATATAACGCATAGGGAAAGAACCACCCCCACAGAAGATCATTAATAACTAATTAATTTGGACTCAAATATGTACGACATTGCACTGAAAATGTAGCTAAGACTTCCGTCTAGATTCTTCAGTAATAGAAATGCATAAATTATGCTTCTAAGCTATGGAAATTAATTATCAATTGTGCACCCCTTTAAATAACTTCGGTGAGGAATTAAGTAACTACTTAATCGCAATAACAATCGGTGTAAAAACTACACGTGGAAGTGGCTACAGGTGACAAAAGTGGAAAATCGGCAAAAATCTCGGGAATGCAAGGGAAAGTTCGAATGGATTTTAATGTATCTTTCCGATGAGTTATTATGATGCACCTATGCTTATATGAAAGCCAGAAGTGTCTACTATAAGAGAGGGTAAATTAGATTAAATGACAATCACGGAAACATATTGCGGAATTATAAAAACTCAAACCTTGACAAAAGTGGAAAATCGGCAAAAATCTCGGGAATGCAAAGGGAAGTTCTAATGAAATTTAAGCTATGCTCCCGATGGGCTATTATGGTGCACCAGTGTTTAAATGAAAGCTGGAAGTGTCCAGTCTATCACAATGTAGATTGGTTTGAAAAAGAATCACAATATCATTTTGTAAAATTGAAAATTTGTCTCGTTTCTGGGAAGAGAAATGGCTGTATCTAGAATGTATGATATAAGAAGAGTTTATCGTGTGCCAAATGATTTTACTGAAATTTATAATCGTTAACTTGTCAGGATCTATTAATTGTTATTTGGAATGTCTGAAATATTAATTAAATTACCGGACTATTTGTATTATAAACGGCGAAAGTGTTCGGTTTATATCGTTTTATGTGATTCCGTATTTTTCCAGTTACCCGAAACACGATTGCCACCGAGTGCAATCCTTCAGCTTTAATTTTCGCTCTTGAAAGTTCAAAACTTTGTTCTTAATCATTGATAACAATTTTTCGAACGTGTATAGTGCAAGAGCAATCGGAAATGATATTTACCGCTTCGCCATATTGTCGGCATTTACGCCTTCGCAAAGCGCCATTCCACGCAGTGGCGATACGCTCAAACTGTTAGGTACTAAGTCTGTGCTCACGGGGTTACAGTAGAGGCGGGAAGCTCGCTGTTTTACCATAGACGGGAAGATCGCTGTTTTACCACAGGCGGGAAGATCGCGCTGTGGTATTTACCCCCCGACGATACTTGCTTACCAGTTTATTTATTTTATCTAATTAATGCAAGCTGAATTCTGGCGAAAATTATTACTAGAAGACACGCAAGACTTTGGTACTACCTTTGAAATTAATAAAAATGTTACGCTATAGTATTTACAATAGTAACGATAACGTAGATATATACATATATAGATTATACTATACATATAAAGTATAATAATTTATAGATAACGAAGTCGTTAATAAATACCTCAAACATTTGGTAAACAATATTATTCAACGTTAGTTAACAAATTTACTAGAACATAATTCATGATTTTAACAGACAACATCGTTATTACAAGATAATATGTATATAATATATGTATGTATATGAAAAAATTTACTTTCGCGTTGTCGAAAAAAGCTACAACGCTTCCTAGCCATCTGATTAAATAATAAGACTACTAAACTGAAATCATCGTGATTCTGATTTGGTAACGTGGCCACGAATCTAAGTACTTATTACTATTGCTCAACGTCGAACAACCCTTCAATAACGTCCGGTTTGTTGCAACGTTCGCTACAATACATATTCATTTTACCCGTACGAATACACGGACAATCGAACTCCTGAACGACGGACAGTCGAGCAGGCTCGTCGTTCGTGTTTTCACGAACTACCCCCGGATCGTCGGATATCACGTTAATGTACGTCACGTTCAATGTTAACTTTTTATCATCTAGCATTTCCCAAGGTGGGAAAATTTGGACTAAGCTCGCGGTTCTCGACTCGATTTTGCCGACGATCTCGGGCACCGTCATGATCCTTATCCGCCTGGGGAAGCGACTTCCTTCCATCGTGGGTAGCAGATTGAACGGATCCTCGATCGCCACACCTTCCAAGAATTGTCTATTAAAGCTGATCACGCATTCCAGCGTGTGGACGGTGACGCACGGCAACGACACGTTGTTCTTCGCCGCCTGTTTCATCTGGTGCCTCCATATCCTCAGGAAGGACACCTGCCTATTGATCGCAGCCTGAAGTTTCTCAGTCAAGCTGCCCCTGGAACGAAAAACAGAAACGATATACAAATCTGTTCGCATCGCATCTAGAATTATTAAATATATTAAAATTAATACAGCTATGAAATGTATTTCCTAGAAAATTATTTGAATAAATTTTGTAATCCAAACATGTGTTACAATTTCTTTCTTTCTCCACACTCGACGTTTTTAAATGGCGAAAAGTCTAAGTGAAATTCGTCCTCGACTTTGTTAACTGTTGTTTACTTTTTTGGTTTCCGCTTTTTCTTCTTGGTCGAATCCAACAGACTAAAATGCATAAACGGTTCTGCTCGCATCCGCAGCGGCGACTCCGCGTTAACTATCACCCCAGATTCTACAGACTTGTCTCCTCGCCAGCCAGTCGTTAGCGACGAGATTTCCGATATCTTCTGCGATTGATAGGCGACTGGGTAGCCAAGCTGCGCCGCGTTCGAGAAATAAGTTTGGTCGCTGTCTTGGGTCTTGGAGCTTATGGAAGTGGACGCGATGGAGCGCAAAGCGTTGTTGACGTAGACTCGTGGACGAATGGGGACCGAAAGATCCGTGTCCTGCGTGTCTGCATCCTCGATTCGGACGCTGTGCTCGTTAGCATTACCGTCGGTATCCGACTTGGTAAGGTCGCGAGAATCTTCGAGGTCATCTGGAACGGATTCTATCTCCATTCTCGCAGAGTCACGCGCGTCAGATCCAGTGGAGTCCTCCAAGATCTTGGAGTGCTCCGAGATTGGTCCAAGAGAGTGGTCCAAGATCTTGGAGTGTTCCGAGATTGGTCCAAGAGACTGGTCCAAGATCTTGGAGTCCTCCAAAGTCCTCGCGATGACCGGAGCTTGCAAGTTCCTCGAGTCCCCAGAAATTTTCGAGCCCTTGGAAATCCTGGAGTCCCCGGAATGATCGCTTTCGACGCAGTCCGCATCGTCGAGCTGCTTGAAATTCTCCTCCATCTTCTTGGCCAACGCGCGTCGCTTCTGAGTGTTGATGAGGATGACATTTCCGGTGTCCTCCTCGCTGGAGACAAACGTGTTCCATAGCCCAGTGGGTCTCCTCTGTTTCAAACTACTGATATAAGAAATAGGCGAAGCTGTTACTCTGTTGTTGCAAAAATCGCCGGTCGTCTCCGGGCGTTTGTTCTCTATCCGATGCAGAACCTTCCTCTCGCCGTTCACTTGTTTCTTTTCAGTCTTGCACATGCTCTTAACGAGCACAGGCGACACGGCCACGTGGCCGTGCTCGCGCTCAGTGGATTCGGTCCGAAACAAATTCCTCCGGACGTTCTCTTTCCTCTCATTCTCGCTGATCGAGATACGGTTCGCACGATCCTTCTTCACCGAACTGTCCTTCCTTCTAGCTCGTTTCCTCTGGCTGAGAAGAATCGGCGATCGTACGATCCCGCGCTTCGCCGCTGGCAAGCCGAGAACGGGGGACGAGATGGCGGGCTCGTCGGTGTCGGTAACCGTGCCCCGATGAGTTTCGATCCATTTCCGCACGAACTCGCCCCTCGACGTGCACGGAATCATCGCCACGTTCCTATCTATCGTCAGAGCGCCATCTCTCTGACCCTGGAATTGCTTGACCACGTGTAAGGTTAGAATCGACTGTCCGAAATTCAATCGTCTCACGTGGCTCGGCTTCCTTCGCTCGTCAGTGCTACCGCTCGCGTCCAGATTCCACGTTCCCGTCTCCGCTTCCTCGTTCATCCTTCGCCGTCCCGTCGACAATCGGTCGCTAAAACAAAGCTTAATCCTTTACTGTAACGGACATACTCCCGCGGATCGCTGCGGAGGCGCGCCCGACCTGTGTACAACTGCTGCCGCTGCCGTTGTCGCCGCCGCCATGCTTCCCCCGTTGCCACGGTAACGGCGTCGACGAGCGCCGCGCATCGGACGATAACGGGAACAGCCGTGTTCGAATTGTTTCCCGCTCTCTGCGCGATAACGTGGACCGCGTTAATTAACGCCCACTTTATCAGGAAATAGAAGAGTATCGCTTGGAAAAAACGTAACGTGGGATGATATATTGCTCTGATACGAACGTGTGTAATTCACTTTATTGAGAAAGTGCTTCGAGGGTCGCGCAGATAATGCTTGTGTTTGAGAATGCCAGTTTGTTAGCGAGATGCGCGGCTTTCGAGGCTAGATACATTCTTGAACGACTCTACAAGACTTTCGATGGGTATTTAAACGACTTTCCAGACTTTAGATGGATTTTTAACGAGTTCGGAGACTCCGGGCATAGTTTGAGACGACTTTGGTGACTGTGTGCAGCTTCAAATGACTTTCGGGATTTCAGATGTAGTTCAGGGCGACTTTCGAGACGCCACGTGTGGTTTGAAATAGTTTTGGAGGCTCTAGATATATTGTTTAAGATGACTTTAGGGACTCTGTCTTTTGAAATGACTTTGGAAATTCTAGATATGTTCTGAAATGACTTTGGAAATTTTAGATATATTGTAAGTTGATTTTGGAAATTTTAGATATATTCCAAAATGACTCTGGAAATTCTAGATATATTTTAAAACGACTTTGGAAGTTCTAGATATATTCTAAAATGACTTTGGAAATTCTAGATATGTTCTAAATGACTCTGGAAAATCTAGATATATTCTAAAATGACTTTGGAAATTCTAGATATGTTCTAAATGACTCTGGAAAATCTAGATATATTCTAAATTGATTTCGGAAATTCTAGATATAATCTATAGTGACTTTCGAGACTCCATATATAGTTTAAAATATCTTCAACTATCAAGACTCTATCATTAAAAATGATTTTCAAGACTCTGACCACGAAAATAACTTTCAATATTCTATCTTTTTTCAATAACTTTGAAGATTGTATCTTTTACAATGACTCTGGAAGCTCTATCTGTTGAACCCCTCCCATTAAAGACGCTTTGATCGAATTTCGCTTTCTCCTTGCATACTATACCGAATCTTTGGCTTTCAACCCCCTCGACGACACAAAATTCCAAAAAACTAAATCAATTCTTAAACACGTTTCTGCTCGATCCTCGAAAGGAAATCGATCTCGCACACGGTTCGAAACTACTTTTTAATTTAATACGCCCACAGCACACACACGCACACACAGGCAAGATCGTTAAGGGGATGAAAGCCAAATGCAAACGGTCCGCGCGTCGAAAACCGAGCTTCGTATAAATTCGATTACGAAAGTACATACATACATACATACTTTCTATACAGAATCCCAATCAAGAAAAGAAAAAAGAAAAGAAGAAAAATACACCGCGCGTAAAAATACGATTCTCAACCCTCAGCGGTCGCCGAAACGGAACTCGTCCGGCTGCGAAAAAAATCTCTAAAACACCGTCGACAGCCTGTAATAAACGCAACACGAACATCGAGGTCTCGTTGACGATTTAATTTCCAGCCGATAGAGATAAGGTGGCCATTCGTTCGAATTCCCGAGGCACCGGTGCAGAGCGACGCGGTCGAGAGAGATCGATCAATCGATCGAACCGAAACCGTAGACGACTCTCTCTCTCTCTCTCTCTCTCTCTCGCTCTCTCTCTCTCGCTCTCTGTCTCTGTCTCTGTCTCTCTCTCTCTCTCTCTCTCTCTCTCTCTCTCTCTCTCTCTCTCTCTCTCTCTCTCTCTCTCTCGGCTAGAAAAGCGGCTGGAAAGCAGAAACGTTTCGAGACCGAGTCGCGGAGAGAGGAGAGAAAAAAACCGCTGGAGAGAAGAGAAGAAGAGACGCTACGATTCGTGCACGCCGCACAATTACCGGGCGGCGAGTGTCGAGGAACCCTCTTTTATATTAATAGTCGAGATAGTAGTCGAGAGCGTGTGTAGCTTGATAGTAGAGTGGCGATCGCGGCGATGCCGGGGGGCCGGGGGGAGGCTGCTCCCGGAGGATCGCGGAGGGAGGCCGGAGGGGTTCGTGTACGAGGCTTTTACGCGAGCAACAGAGTTCGAGTTCTCTCGTCGCCGTGACGGAGAAAGACGGTGGTGTGGAGGCTGCGGCGGTAGGAGAGCGGGGAGCACCGCGCGCGCGGCCACGGTCCAAGGGGGCGTAGAGGGCGGGGGATCGACGGAGAGTGTCCAAGGGGGACGTGTTCGAAACGATAGCTAGGAGGATGGGATACCGTGTACGGACCCCTTGTATATCCACGATTGCTTCAGTTTCAGTTCGCGATGGAGACTATTTGCTCCTTCCAGTGGTAGCTGCCGGTTCAGTCTTCGACGAGGGTGACGGACGGAGAGCGAGAAGGAGAGGGAGACCGAAAGAAAGAGAGAGAGAGAGAGAACGAGTGCGAGAAAGAAAGTCCAAGAAAGAGAGAGAGAGAGAGAGAGAGAGAGCGAGCGAGAGAGAGAAAGATCGAGTGTTAAGGGACCACAGGGATAAGCTCGGGGCCGCATCGAGCCGCGTCCAAAAGAAAAGCGCTCGAAAAGAAGCGCTTGAAAAGAAGCGCTCGAAGAGAAGCGCTCGCAAAGGCGGCGAAGAGAGCATGGATCTCGTCTCAGGATCGAGGACCGTCGGGAGGAGGGCCGGTTGAGTCGCGGAGATGCGCGACCGTGTCGAGACCGTTTCCCTTCTCGCCGGAGAATCCCGTGGATCATCCGTGAGCCCGTGCGGGTCTGCGCCGGAAGTAGAGCAAACGGTCTCCCTTCCGGGACGCGGGTCCGTGCCGACCCTGCCGCGGGCATCGAAACTCGGGTGAACGGTCGGTGGTCGGTGGAAGGCGGCCGGTCGACGGACAGTGTGACGATTCCTCCGCGAACCGCTCTGGATGTGCCCCGAGACACCATTTCCTGCATCTGTGTTTCTGGTGGAGAGCCGATTGTCAGTTGAAACGTGTTCCCTGCCGCAAGGATATCCAAGATCGGAGTCGCTGCGCCGGTAAGATTCGAACAGAGAAACCCAGCGAGAGAGAAACAGAGAGTGAGAGAAAGATAGAGAGAAACAGAGTGAGAGAAAGAGAGAGAGAGAGAGAGAGAGAGAGGCAGTCCCGGAAGTTCGCGTCGTCGGTTGGGCAGAAAGGGGTGGAACCGAGCGTGGGATCGGCGGAATCGTCGCACGCAACGCGACGCGACGGAATGGAAAAGTCTGTGCTCTCGGCAGCGGCACGTCGCGCGCTTGTCAAACTCCTCGTAAATCTCGTTGTTTAACTACCGGTGGTAGCGAAATCTCGGGCCGCTCGTAAAATACGATGCAGCAGCCGTGCGTTATCGCCAGCTCCCGCGTCATTATCTTGTTCGGTTGCCGTAAAAACAAATTGTTTAGAGAGCCGGCTGGTACCGCCGCGAAGGCTCGACGGGCACGTCAATCAACCGAGCACGCCGATCACGGGAAAACGGGATCGCGGTCGCGAGACCAGACGAGGGAGGATCCGATTCGCGAATCCGCGAGCAAACACCGCCTACGCGACGATCCGTTTCTCGCGGATCGCGTCGACGCGATCGATTCGATTCCATTCGATTCCATTCGATTCGATTCGATTCGATCGCGGGAGGAAGCGAGAGCGAGAGAACCGATTGACGACGGAACGGGACGCGGCGTGCGAAGCGGGACGACGTTGTTTGCACTCGCGTGACGTCACTGGCAATTGTGACCAGCCCGGAGCCGCTGGACGCAGAATGCACGCGCGGACGTCGTCGTCGCGTGCACGGAAAATCCGGGAACCGCGCACGGTTACACGGAACCGAGCTACGATTCTTGCTTCCTATCAGTTCGCTTCGGTCTTAAATTGTCCAACGATCTTTCGAGAACCACGCGAAAAGATAGATCATCGCGAGCCGGGATCGATCACCACTTCCTCTTCCTCAGCGTCGCGCCTCTCGGTTTCGCTGCACCGCGCGCTCTTCTTCTTCTTCTTCTTCTTCTTCTTCTTCTTCTTCTTCTTCTCTATCTGTCGCGGATTCGTCTTTTTCAAGTGCCAAGGATCTTCTCAGTTAACTTCCGAGGATTTGTTAACGTCCATTTGTTAACGCTATCCTTAGATAACTTCCGAAGAGAGCTCCCCAGTTAACTTCCGCGAATCGCCTAAGTTAATCTCCGAGAATCTCCTCGGTTAACTTGCAAGGATCTAGTCGGTGCACTTCCGAGAATCTCCTGAGTACAATTCCGGGAATCTGTTTCTCCAACTTCCAACGATCTTCTTTTACAACTTTCAACAATCTTCTTTTATAACTTCCAACGAGACCTTCGTCGTTAACTTCCAAGGATCCTCGTGAAACGACCCGCAAAGGTACACTCGCATGAATTGCGGTCACGAGAAAAAAATGGCAAAAATGGCAAAGATGGAGAATTTGAGAGGAGGAGATACGATTATTCGGTCCGCGGGTCTAGTTTTTGTACCTGTTCACAGTCGGCGAACATAAAAACGAGCCGCGAGACTCGAACAATCGCATCTCTTTCTACTAAATTGTCCATTTTTGTTTGCAAGCGGAAGAACAATCGGAGAGAATTCACTGTACATTTCTCTTCTTCCTCGCAGTCGGGACTCTTGGCACGACCGGATCCTCTTGTCTAACACGTCCACGAGTCCCCGAAGTACAATACGCCGACTGAATAGAATTTCGGGCCTCTTCGCGTCGTTATGAATCAATCACAATCTTCTCTTCTCAACGTCGCATCGTACGAAAGCGATGTCGACCAGAATTGAATAGAGTTTGTCAGTCTTCTTAGCATCGTTTTGAACCGATTACAACCTCCGAAGAATTTCAGTCCCCCTTTTTCCTTTTTTATTAAAGTAGTCGGGTCTAATATCATCGATTTTCTTATGGATTTTACAAGTAGTCCATGTTCTTGTGCGTCGCGTATAATAAAATAAAACAGATAAGATGAAACAAGAAAATAAAATAATATAAAATAACATAAAATAGAATAAAATAGAATAGAATGGAACGCGATAAATTCAACTGGAACAAAACACGCTAATTTATGCGACGAAGAAACTATAAGTAGTAACAAAATTTGGATACGGAAACAGGGTAATGCGAATTGCAAAAATACGGACAATGTAAACTCGCGCGAACGTGAAAGCTAATCTACCATTGAATAAATTTAGTATACATTGTTTGTCTTCTCGAGTTACGCTAATTCCGTGTCATTTCGCACCGGTCTTCTGCGCTCCTCGCTCCTTAACGTCCTACACAGTCGCGCCATTAATTGATGTTTCTGGACCGCGACTTTAAGGAGGGAACGCTGGATCGAGCAGATACAGTAAATCCTCCCTAATCGACGCTCGGTTGTACACAAAAATGGACAATTTGGGAAGCGGAGATACGATTGTTCGAGCCATGCAACTCGTTTTTACTATAAAAAGGCGCGCAGCGAGGCTCGAATAATCGCAACTCCTCTTCCCAAATCGTCCATTTTTATGCGCCGCTGAAATGCATTTGTTCCGCATAAATGCACTTGTTCCGAGTGTCAATTAGCGAGGATTTACAGTAAATTCTTCATAACTAACGCTCAGATTGCAGAAATTAACAATTTTTATAATTGTTGTCAATCGGCGACTATAAAAATGAGCCGCGAGGCTCGAATAATCGTATCTCCTCCTCCCAAACTGTCTATTTTCGTGTACAATCTCAGCGTCAATTAGAGAGAATTCGCTGTACCGTGAACCGTTCCGTCGAATCGTGCGGGAAGGATCCGAATCTGCGGAACGGAAACCGGTGAAAATGTGTCCGTTTCAATGGAGCCTCGATCGTCGTTGCACCGTCGCGACGGTCGATTCCGTCAGGATCGAGTTTTCCGTAAATACGATAAAAGCGCAACACGCTCTGCGAGAAATTTGCATAAACATCCGCGGTCCGGTCCAGACGCGGACGCGATGCAGACCCGGAACGAAGACGACGGGGTTATTATCGTTAATGTCGTGACGATTTCAATTTGCGAAGCTTTCGAGAAGATTCGTGGAGAGCGAGCCTCGCGACGCGGATTCCGACGATGCTGACGGAGGGATCGTCTTCTTATCTCTCGATCGGTTCGCGAGCGTTCATCGATCGCGCGACACCTGATTCGCGTTCGCGCGACCTTTGACACGCGGATACCGGTATCTGTGATTTCTCGTCTCTCTCTCTCTCTCTCTCTCTCTCTCATCTCGCTTTCTCCCTGCTTTCTATCTCCTTGATTGATTAGCCGGCGCCTTGAGCACGCGACGCTCGGATCGCAAAATAGTGGCGGATGCGTGGCCGAGATGCGGTTTCGTGGCTCTTACGGGCCTCCAGTTCGCATAATCGAGGGAGAATCGGTAGCAAATTGATCTGTGGGAATCTGTTCTCGATCTACTCGAAGCAGCTCCCGAAGTTCTAAATGGCTGCGATACGGCGGCTCGCGAAACTGATCGATAGATCGCGGATTTTTTGTGTTTATAGTAGAAATGTTTGAACGAAACGCGAAGAAAAATTCATGAACATTGTTGCACTACTGTCACTGTGTTAATAGCGTCGAAAGAAGGAATATTACTTGTATTTAACTTCTGTTTTATGCGATCGATTATTTAACGATGTCAATGTATTATTTTTATTCTATCCGAACGATTAAACGAAGTATGAATTTGTTATTTAGCTTCCGTCTCTTGCAATTGATGCAGACAATTTTTACTTTGCGTAAAAGTCCATCGATCAGTTTCAGGAGCTACTGTATCTTTCAGGTTATGTTTCGGGAGAAACGTGGCGTCGTTCAACCCCTTGCCGTAGATCGACGAGTTTGTGCTATTGCTATTTTATTCCGTTACTATTTTTCATAATAGAATTTTTGGTATGCCATTGCTGTTTTTATTTCATTGTTTATTTATTATTTTATTATATTAGTATCATCGCGATCGAAAAAGTTCTAATCGTTGCAAGTGTGAGGAGAAAGGTGCGGCAAGGGGAGAGAACAGAGAATCGAGGACGAGAAGTACAGTAAATTCTCCCTAATTGACGTTTACACAAAAATGGACAATTTTGGAAGATATGATTATTTGGATATACGATTATTCGAGCCTTGTGCGGTTCGTTTTCATAATTACCGATTGTCAACGCAACTATAAAAACGGCCACTCCTCCCCCGCAGGGCTCGAATAAATCGCTTTTACATACAATCCCAGCGTCAATTAGGGAGAATTTACTATAATTAATGTAGGGCCCTATATTATATATAAATATTATTTATAGCGCCCTATAATAATATTTTTTAGCATTTTTTTACGTACACACTTCCGGAGTTCTGCAATTAATAATAATAATAATAATAATAATAATAATAATAATAATAATAATAATAATAATAATAATAATAATAATAATAATAATAATAATAATAATAATAATAATAATAATAATAATAATAATAATAATAATAATAATAATAATAATAATAATAATAATAATAATAATAATAATAATAATAATAATAATAATAATAATAATAATAATAATAAGACTAAAATGTTGTGCAACGAATGCAAAGTCCGCGAATGCATCGCCGTAAAGTTACGTTCGGAAGTAAGAAATATGTGAAAGATGCGATAACGCTAGCGTGCAACAGCTAATTTGCACGCGTCGAAAAAAAAGAGAAAAAAAGGAGAAAAAAGATCAACATCGCCTCTGCCGAGAGATTAGACGAAATCGCGGCCGACTGAAATCGACAATAAATTCAACAATTCGTCGATGTCAAGCTTGTGTGAACAAAGGCGGGCGACGCTTTGAAATCGAGACACATTTTGATGTATTTAACATCGTCTAAATCAGATTTCGTAATTTCTCTCGTAAAAATTTCGTCATATAAACATTTCGGTCGTATTTTTTACGCAGTGGAACGCACACCGTCGACATACGCACGGACATCCTGTACAAGTAATTACATTAATAACGTAACTAATTTATCAGAATTTACCATAACTGACCATATATAATTGTTAATCGGATTACTTTTCGCGCAACTCTGTGTCGATTCGGCGGTAAAAAAAAAAACGATTTGCAAATGGTGGTCTTCGAATCACGAGGACCATTCGAGGGCGAAGGGTTGCGTATGGTCCGAAGAGAAAATGGAATTGATAATTGGCAGCCTGCAGTCGGGGACAAATATATATATGTGGACACTCTTTCGAGCGGTATAAAATTGGCTTAAATTTTAAACATTTTCCAAACTGGCCTGAATGAGTCGAACATTTTTTAGACGACTGAGGAACTTTCTTCGAATTTTGCAATTATTTGGAACGAGAAAGGAAAAGGAAAAGCTCGCGTTTCTTCAACTTTCCCATCCGAGCCTACTGCGAAAATTTAGAAAAAAAAACGTTCTGTAAATCTCGGTAAATATAATCGAAATAATAATAAATAATAATAAAGTGTCATCGAAATCGCAGAGAGTCGAGCCGCGACTGTTGAAAGATTTATAAAAGCGCGGATTAAAATTGGCAAAAAGCTGCGAATTTCGCGACCACTTTCAACTGCTCGTAACTCGAAGCGGCGCCAACCGATTTTCATAAAAATTTCAGCGCGCGCCCAAAGCACCAAGACCTACAAATCGCGAACGTAAAAAAAGTTAAAAAAATCAAGAGCCTTCTATTTCCTCTCATGGTCCCAGATACCAGCAAAATTAGTAATTATCCGCAAGACCAGTTCCTCCGTCGTCTAAAAACGAATTCAAACGATTCAACCCTTGAGAAGGGTTGCACCGTTTCGAAGGGTGCCGGCAGAGATTCGCCCCCGACTGCACGTGCACGCGATGTGTTTAGGAGATTGCAGTCCGCGTCGAGGCTAGAGCAGGAAGAAGCTGTTGGCGTTCTCTGGGATCGGAGCGGCCGGGATTTCCATAGGATCGGAAAAGGTGACGAACGCGGAGCATCGGCGCGACGTCTGCGTTGACGGTGGGCTACGACGGTGGCGACGGTGGCGGAGACGGAGGCGGCGGAGGCGGCGGCGGTGGTGGCGACGGAGAGGCAGAGAGAGGACGCCGGCGAAGACGATGCTCGAGAGAATCGGAAGAGAGGAGGTGTTTTCCGGCAATGGCTGATCGCGGCCGGCGCGATGCTCGCGGCATATAAGAACGCGCGAAGACGTGCGTTCGCCGCGCTTTACGCGATTCCGAATTCGACGGTGGACTATCTATCCGCGGCAGCGGCTCGGGAGGCAATCGGCGGGTCGAAGATCGCTCGCAAGAGGCAGCAGCGGCAGCCTACGCGGACAGGGACTCGGCACGAGGCGATCGTCGGCCGAACTCGAGGCTGGGCCGCGGGACGACCGTGAGAGGAGGACTTTGCCGGAAAATCGTGAACGTGAACGTGAACGTGATCGTGAACGTGATCGTGAACGTGATCGTGATCGTGATCGTGATCGTGAACGCGGATCCCGCGTCGCGCCTCGCGCTCTTCAGCTCGGACAACTTGGCGGTCGCTAAGCGCAACTAGACGCCGCGTCCGCGTCGTCCCCGTAGTCGAATCCGCGGCGCGGCCCGCGACGTGCGCCTTCCAGCGGATGTTTAGTCGGCGAAACGTAGTCGGCGCCGAGACGCGCGTGCTGAGGATGAGACCCGGCCGAGGACAGGTGTGATCACAGAGGTCGGGTCGCTGTTCAGCAACGGAAGAGAGAGAGAGAGAGAGAGAGAGAGAGAGAGAGAGAGAGAGAGAGAGAGAGGGAGAGAGAAAGGAAGATCGCGCGAAAACAGTGGTGGTGAGAGAGTTGATGTCCGGTTGTGGCTACGAAAGCTCGGCTCGTGCATGCTCTCGAGGAGGAATCGCGGCGGTCATGCCGCGTGATTCGAAGGTGTACGTACTGTTGTCCGCAACGCGTATCATCCACGGCGCGAACCAGGCGTCGTTCAAACGCGGCCCACCGGCAACCAGGGAAACATGAGCTCCATCGACTTCGACGAGGTGTTGGTGCACGTGGGCGAGAAGGGCAAATACCAAAACATCATGTACTACCTTCTTTGCATACCCGCCACTCTACCCGCAGCCTTCCTAGCGTTCTCGCAAGTGAGTTCTCGCAATCGGCGTCATCCCCTAAGTACAGATGATCACGGCTGAGCTATGATAGCGATGACCCTGAGAGATCGAAAGCAACCTGACGTCCTTCCTGCTTCCAGGACTAAGACTGTACCCTAATTCAGTGTCCACGACCTGTCCGAATTGGTCCAAAGATCGTCTCGTTGCTACTTCAGTTTTATGCCGCATGGCATCCTTGCTATACCGGCGCCGAGACCTGTACACGGACCAATTCAGTGTCCACGTCCTGATTCAATCTGCACATCCTAATTCAATGTCCACATCCTAATTGAATGACTACGTCCTAATTGTGATAATACATCCTGTTCAAGTTGGTCCAAAGATCGTCTCGCAGCTACTTGAGTTTCATACTGCGCGGCATCCTTGCTAGACCTAAGACTGAGATTAAGACTTTACACTAATTCAATGTCTCTACACGTTAATTCAATGTCCGCGTCTTGATACAATATCTACATCGTATAATTTAATGTCTACATCCTGTTCAAGTTGGTCCAAAGATCGTCTTGCAGCTACTTCAATTCTATACCGTCTGGCATCCTTGGTATAACAACACTGAGACCACGTTTCAAATGAATGTTGTAGTGACATGTCACACTGACAGGATCGAAAGACAAGAATCAGTATATGTTATTATTATTCTGTTCGAATTGAAGACAATAAGCTTGCCGAACTTTACTTACTTTGAACTGACATTCAATTAGGATGCAGCGATGGATCCTCCAAGTCTACCCCCCCCCCCCCTAAACAGGTCTGGTCTTAACAGTCTCAGTACCTACCAGATCTGGATCTCTAATTTTAGGATCTAGTAAGTCTGGACCTACTCTTATCTAGCTCTGGAGCTAAACTCAGAATCTAGCAGATCTTGTCCCAGTCTTAGAACCCTGCAAATGTCCCAATCTTAGGGCCTAGCAAGTCTTGCCCCAGTTTTAGGACCTAACAGATCTTGTCCCAATCTTAAAGTCTAGCAGGTCCTGTCCCAGTCTTAAGATCTAGCAAGTCAAGACTCAGCCTTGAAACCTAGCAAGTCTTGTTCCATTTTGAGGACCTAACAAGTCTTGTCCCAGTCTCAGAACCCAACAGATCTTGTCCCAGTCTCAGAACCTACCAGGTTTTGTCCCAGTGTTACAACCTAGCAGGTCTTGTTCCAGCCTTAGAACCTAGCAAGCCAGGACTCAGCCTTAAAACCTAGCAAGTCTTGTCCCTGTCGTAGGACCTAGCAAGTCTTGTCCCTGTCGTAGAACCTAGCAGGTCTTGCCCCAATCTTAAGATCTAGCAAGTCAGCACTCAGCCGTGAAACCTAGCAAGTCTTGTCCCAGTCTTAGAACCTAGTAAGTCAGAACTCAGCATTGAAACCCAACGAGTCAGAAAACTTAGCTTTGAAACCTAGCGAGTCAGAACTCAGCCTTGAAACTTAGCAAGTCTTGTCCCAGTCTTAGTACCTAGCAAGTCTCGTCCCAGATTTAAAACCTAGCAGGTCCCGTCCCAGTCTTAGAACCTAGCAAGTCAGGAGCCACAGTTAAGACCCAGCTAGGATACAAAACGCTTGTTGGACAGGTGTTCGTGAGCGCATCCCCGGACCACTGGTGCAGGGTGCCCGAGCTAGACAACCTAACGGAGCTGTTAACCCTGGAGGAGAGAAAAGCACTGTCGCTGCCGCACGAGGCGAGAACCGACGGCAAGTTGAAGTACTCGAAGTGCAGCATGTACGACGTCAACTACACAGCGATCATCGAGTCGTGGCTGGGTCGGGGCAGCCTCGAGAACGCGACCGTTCAGCCCGAGTACCGGTCGAGGTCGCGGCTACCTTCGCCGCCGGTCGGCGACCCTAAGTGGCCGGTCAGCACGTGCCGACATGGCTGGATCTACGACAACCGGGACTACGACAGCACCCTCGTCACCGAGGTAAACACGTCTTTCTCCGTCTCCTCGATCTTCTGTGGGCTTCCGCGATCTTTTGCGAGCTTCTGAGAACTTCTGAGAGCTTCTGCGGGCTTCTGCAGGCTTCTGCGAGCTTCTCGATCTTCTACAGGCTTCCGCGATCTTCTGCGGGCTATCGCGATCTTCTGCGAGCTTCCGAAAGCTTCTGAGAGCTCTCAAAAGCTTCCGCAAGCTTCCGAAAGCATCCGCGAGATTCCGGAAGCTTCCGCGAGCTCCCAAAAGCTTCCACGAGCTCCCAAAAGTTTCCGCTAGCTTCTGCGAGTTTCCAAAAGCTTCCGCGAGCTTCTGCGAGCTCCCGAAAGCTTCCGCGAGCTTCCAAAAGCATCCGCGAGCTTCTCGATGTTCTTTGTCAGCTTCAGCTAATTCCGCCTTCTCGAGATACCGCTGCGATCTTTCGAAACGATACGTTCTTGCGCTGATCGGAGCAAAATCAACCCTTCGACTGACCCGCGAAGGTCAATACTCAGATTTAACCCTTCGCATTCGAAGTTATTTCAATAACAACATTTCCGTTTTATACAATTTGTCTGTCAATTTCATATTGAACCGTGGTAAAGCAATTTTCAATGGCGCCTCGGAGTCGCCGCTCGAGTACAAAGAGTTAAAATTGCCTCTCTCTCTCTCTCTTTCTCTCTCTCTCTCTCTCTGTCATTGATCAGCTTGCTAAGTATTCTCTCCTCTCGACGTAGAGCAAAACGAATCGTTGGAACAACAAAGTGTCGCGGAAAATACTTGATTAGATCCCGACTAAATTCAGAACAATCCTCGTTGTCGTCGAGCAGAGAACTCGTAGCTGTCGCTAGACGAACCTCCGAAGTCGCGTACCGATTGATTTGCTATCGCCGTATCGCGGCGCTATTGCGTCGATCATCGTCGATCATCCGATACATCGTTCGCATAGATAAGCAGCAGCAGAGCGATGCGATGCGAAGATACGAGAGAAACGGCACGTGTAACACAGCAGCGTCGGGACGCTCGTTCCGCCGACGGATTTCGGGCGATAGGGCGCGCGACAGGGCGCGACACGGCGCGTGCACAAGTCGAATCGATTAGCCGTGGTCGAAAATGCTGCAGTCGACTCGTTAAGCACCACCCCTGGGAAAGGTCACGCGATGCATCTTTCGGGCCGGTACACGTCGCACCGGGAAAACCAACCGCACGAGAAGCGCGAAAGTTTCAGCCGCGTTGAACCGCGGCGGACGGGTTAATTTTCGCGCGAGGGTTAACTTCCTCGTGAGAAACGGCGCGAGCCTCGCCGGATTCGGTTTCGCTCGCGGTTTCTCGGAATGGGAAAAGCGGTCGCCGGCGAGTGGGTCGACGTCGACACGGTTCGTCGCGACGAGTGAACCAACGTTTTGCATAATCCTCCTACGCGACGCTGGCTGCTGGTTGCAGCTTCTCCTCTCCTCTTCTCTCGCTCTTTCTCGTTTTTTCTCGTCGCTGAGTTGTCGCGAGCAAAGCGAGACGAGCGAGAAGAGCGATGATAATGATGCCAGGTACACAGAAGTGTCGAGTTTCACGGGGGCAATTCGGCTTGGCCTCCGTCGATTAGCCGACCCCGCGGAATCGCGGGAATCCTCCTCGAAGCAAGGGCCTGGAGGCTGGTCCCGTTCGCGGAATCGGTGTCCCTCTTGTCCCCGTTCGATCGGACCCGTTAAACTCCTCTTTCCGCTCGATAATTCTCTATTCCGTGAAAGCGCGTCAAGTCGGGTCGATGTTTCCGCGGCGGATGTCCAGCTCGGCGATTCCGTGGGGCTGATGTGTATCACGGACGTTTCCACGGACCCGGTTACGTTTCCCGCTACCCTGTTCACGTCATCGAACGATCACGGCGCACCGAGACCTTAGACCATACGCGAGTTGGCTAGAATCGTAGCGGCGCGAGTGACGTTTCCGTAAATGTTCGTTTATCTCTTGAAATGCAATCTTCTGTGCATGACGAATCGTTCGGAACACAAGTGAAATCAATTGTAACGTTAGAATGAGTTAACTGTAGATTATCTTAACGACAGATTTTTCGCCGGTGAAAGATGCACGTGTTAGTAAACGATGCACGTGATGGTAAACGATACACATCATAGTAAAGAATGCACATCATAGAAAACGATGCACATAAACAATACACGTGTTAGTAAGGAACAACGCTCGATATTTCTCGCAACGAGAAAAATGTGACTTACGACACCGCTATGATTCTAACCCACGCATATACACATACCTATAAACACGGCTTCAGATAGTTTGCCTGAAGCAAAGACGAAATCATCTGCGTGACGTCACAGTGAACCAGATGTACGAGCTACACTGGTACGATATACACTGGGATTCCGACAGAGTGACACACCGAGGTTCCCCTAAGGGTCGATTCACATCTACGTGCCAGGCTCGGGCCGTGCTTGGCATTTAACTTTGGCATAACCCTGACGTAACTTAGGCATAACTTTGGCATGTTGATAAATCAGACGTAACTCTGACATAACTCTGACATAACGCTGACATCACTCTAACATAACTTTCGGCATAACTTTGGCATAACCTTGGCATAACTTTGGGTGTTTAAACTACAAAAATAAAGATTTTGTATAGGATGACGTTTCATTGATTTTCTAAAATTGTTAAGTTAATATTAATATGAAAAGTATATCTACATTTTTCATAAAAATCATTATAATCTTAGAAAAATTATATCGCGTTTGGTCTTATTTTAATCGGGAAAGGCTCACAGTTGCATCGGAAAATCCGAAAAGATAAATTTGAATTGCTGCTAGCACGACCCGAGCCTAGCACGTAGATGTGTATCGGCCCTAAACGTGTTGAACTGTTCTCATATTTGACAATAACAATTACTCGTGTATCGAGATGTATTGTTATATTGTTGCCGATTATTTTGTTATTGCCGATTATTTTATTGTTACTGATGTTCGCTGAAAACTCGGCCGATTTCGGCGCGTGTGCGTGAATCGAAACGCGCGCGAGACGAGACGACGCGACGCGCTAATCTCGCCAAGGTTCCGCGAGAAACGATCGCGATCCAGCGATCCAGTGATTCAGCGATCCAGCGATCTAGCGATACGGCAGCGACGAAGAACCGAGCGTCCCCGGTCCGTCACGTGGCAGAGGCAGCTTTGCTCGGTCGCTCGAGTCCATTAACGCGTTATTAAATTGCCGCAATTAGACAACGCGGGTAAGCCTGTTGTCGCAACACGAGGATCGTAACTCGCGGGGTCGAGGATCTAGGTGCAAGTCTCTCTTAAACTGGTCAATTCCGCGGCGCTCGTACGGAAATAGTCGACGGAGCGATCCTATCGTTAGGCCGTGGTTATACACCGGCGTCTCTTCCGGCGTTTTGTGCGTCGCGATCGATAATCACGTGGAATCGGTGGCATTCTTTGGCGAATAGAGAAACACAGACTTGTACGAAACATCATAAATTGCGACAGTGTAGTCGCACCCTTAATCTTTACACTGCCGACATGATGATGCTGTATGGAGTCGCTAATATTGCACCGTACTTTGGAGAATAGGTAGAGTAGTGGAGCCAGTGTTATAAAATTGTATTAAGAAGCAAACGAAATAATTTAATACAGTTATACTACTGCGTTGAAAAGTAAACGAATATAATTTAATACAGTTATATTACTGTATTGAAAGATAATCGAAAATAATTTTTAATATAACTATATTACTGTATCGAAAAATAAATGAAATAATTTCATACAGTTATATATACACTGTATTAAGAAAAATAAACGAAATAATTTCACACAGTTAAATTACAATATTCAAAAATAAATTATTCAAAAATAACAATTTCATACAACATTATATTACTGTGTATGAAAAAAATAAACCAGATAATTTTGCACAATTATATTATTGTATTAGCAAATAAACAAAACAAAAGAATAAGAAATTTTAATACACCTCATTCGATAAATATACAGTTAATTACGCCAGAAAAGAAACCAAGGGACCACGGCAATATTGCTCACCCCATTGTAACCGGCTCCACCACCCTAGTCTCTTTCACCCGACTCGATTTGTGAGGAATATTGTTCATGGCGTAGTTCGCACCATCCAACGACACATTAGGTCAAGAATTCGAGCTGAAAGAGAACCACCTATTCTCCGAAATATATATAAGGTACAAATATTAGCAGCATGTATCGCAAGATTTACAAAACGAGTTTACGTGAACTCTTTACCTAAACTACCGATTCGCTGATTTTCTATCAATATTAATATTATTCGTTTTTGTTCTTTATCATGAAAAATTGATTTCCATCCGTATATATAATAATTACGTATACAATAATATATAACCAAATAAATTAAAATAAAATTCAATGAAATATTAGCGACTCGGTACGGGTGTCGCGTCGGCGTAAAGGTTAAGGAGGCCGATGCGTCGCCTGGAAGACACGCCGGGGTCCGAAGACGCCTCTCGATGATGGAAGACGGCTCTATCCCGGCCAGGTGAACAAGACCGACGTGCCGGCGAGCGACTGGGCCGATAGTTTGCGGGTCTCTCTGGTGGCGTCAGCAATTGCCGACCAATTTACCTACCCCCGCATCCGGTCATGCGATCTGTCGCATCAAACGCCTCGTACAAACTACCGGCTACTCTGTGCTCCTACGAAGGGTATATGTCCGCCGCGCGAGTGTGCCAGCACCAGAGCTTGTCGCTCGCGTCCGCATTTCGCCGTGACGCAAACAACCGGCTCGACCGAGTTCGATTCCCTCCGCTTCTTCGTCGCCTCTCTCCCTGGGTCTCCTCCTTAAACGCTCGCGCCGAATCGGGGCTCGATCGGCGAAAACTCCACGGCTCGATTTTCCATCCCCTTTCCCTCCCGGCACTCGGGAACCGCTGCTCGGGGACCGCTCGTCGGTCCCCGCTCCTCCGGACAGCTCGCGGATTGCCCGGCTGGCTCGCCGCTTCTCCTATCGCGGCGTCTCTCTTTCTC